TCGATTGATTGCCAATCCGGATTGACCACCGCTTGTTTCACTCACATGCATTCAGACAAGAAAGGGTCAGAGCCTCTTTCCAGAAAGGAAAGAGCGAGGGAAATGCTTGACGCCTCTACACTGCAGAAATAATCCGGTTTGAGACAGCTATAACTACCCTGGCTCAGTGTTAGGGAATCATGGGAATTGTATTTTTTTCTGGGACATTGAGCCTTCTCTGTCAGAGAGCGCTCTGGTGCCACAATAGACTATAGTTCCCAGGATTCCTTAGTACTGAGCCAGGATAGTTAAAGTGGCCTCAAGCTGCATTATTTCTGGCAGTCTGCAAAGGCCCATAGACTCTTCAGCGGAGACGATCTTCCTTGCTTCTATGGGCCTTTGCAGACTGCTAGGAATAGTGCAAATTGAGTCCACTTCAACTGCCCTGGCTCAGTGCTAGGGAATCATGGGAATTGTATTTTTTTCTGAGACGTTGAGCCTTCTCTGTCAGAGAGCTCTCGTGTCACAATAAACTACAGTTCCCATGATTCCCTAGCACTGAGTCAGGGCAGTTCAAGTGGACTCAATTTGCACTATTCCTGGCAATTTGCAAAGGCTCTATTTAGACCAATGGGATTCCCAGGAGGAAACAAATCCTCCCTGGCAGAGAGAGGCAGGTGCCTTTGGGAGAGTCACACTCTCTCAGCCTCAGGGGAAGGCCATGGCAAACCTCCTCGGAACAAAGCTTGCCCCGAAAACCCCATGACAGGTTCGCCTCAGGGTCTCCAGAAGGAAACACTGCAACAACAAGAAGAACAAGAACAACAGGCTGTCACAGGGTTTTCTGGGGCTGAGAGCGTGTGACTCTCTCAAGGACACCCAGAGGGTTTCCATCACTGAGTGGGGAATCAAACCCTGATCTCCAGAGCTGCAGTCCCACCAACGCTCACAATCGAGAGACATTATGGTCTAAAACACACTGCAGAAATAATCCAGTTTGAGACCGCTTTAAGTACTGGGCTCAATGCTAGGGAATCCTGGGAATTGACAGAGAAGGCTAAATGTCTCACAAAACTACAGTTCCCAGGATTCCCTAGAACTGAGCCAGGGCAGTTAAAACGGTCTCAAACTGGATTATTTCTGCAGTGTGTTTTGGACGTATGTAACAGATATTACTTAATATATATGGACAATATTTAAATAGTTTTATATAGCCTCCAGCTTTCCCTGGCTGCTCCTTAGTTTCTACCTGGGAAACAGCAAAACCAATAAATGGTAGTTGTGTTGCTCTTGTTTTTGGGAATGGGATCGAGAATATGTGTGCGCACCATACAGTTATTATAGTAGTCTAAAGCCATTTTAACTGCCTTGGGATTTGCGGTTTACAACTCGGTTACAGAGGTCCATTGACCTGAACTACAACTCCCAAGGAACCCAAGAATCGGTTTAATTCTGTAATGGAGATTGGGACGCAAATATAAAGTCAAATCTTGAGAAAACCACTTTTCTCAAGATACAAGCGTGTTAATCGGTTGCAGAGGTGTGTGTGTGTGGGATAAATTTCTAAGACTACAGAATCCCCTCTTAAATTCTGGGGGATTCTGGGAGCTGTAGTCCAAAGGGAAGCCATTTTCCTAAGCAAACCCAGCAAAAAAACTCCGCGTGGCCCCTTAAAAAGTAACTTTATATTTATGATGTACAAAATTCTGTGGATTTGAGCGCACTTTTCATCGGATTTTTACCTATACTAGAAGGCTCTATTATAGCAAAAGGCGGTTAGATAGATTCATAGAAGGCAGCCCAAAGGTAATATAATCCAGCCCCCTGCCAGGGGACTAAAAATCTCACAAAACTGCATATCCCAGGATTCCATAGCATTGAGCCGTGGGAGTTAATGCGGTGCCAAACGGCGTTATTTCTGCAGTGCAGATTAGATTGAATAGTCTGCCCTTGCGGAGGGCATCTATTCCATTGCTCTTCCCAAATCGAAAGCTCCTCTCTTTAACTTCCATGGCTGTTCTATCCTACAGAATCCTGGGATCTGTAGTTTGGTAAGGCACCAACACACTTTGGCAGAGAAGGCTGAAGACCCTGTAAAACTACAAAATCCCAGGAATACATAAGATGGAGCTACTTAAAGTGGTATCAAACCGCATTACATCTACAGTGAAGATGCACCCCAGAGGAGAGCTCCATCCTATGGAATCCTGGGATTTGTAGTTTTGGTATTCCAGATTTCTCTGCCAGAGAGCTCTAGTGCCTCGCCAAATTGAGAGTTCCAGTATTGCACAGGATGTTCTCAAAGTGCCATTATATATATATATATATATATATATATATATATATTCAGTGACATAGCCGTGTTAGTCTGGAAAATCAGTATGCGACCAGATCTTGTAGCATCTTTTGAGACTGAAAGAAAGAAGCTGTTAGCTTGAGCTTTTGTAGACTTGAGCCTATTTCTTCAGGTGTATTTTTGGAGTAGAGAATCCAGAGTTTATATAGGTTTGGCTCTGGACAAACTGGACAGTCTCTGGACAGTTGAACTGCAGCTCCCATCATCCTTTACCATCGCCTAGCCTCTGGAGCAAAGGACAGCAAGCTCGCTTCATTATTATACATCGCAATAATTATAGCGATCTAATAATCCATAGAGTAGTCCTCAATGGCAAATCTCCTCTCAAGAAATCTTGCCAAGGGGAAAAAACCCTATGATAGAGGGTCACCAGAAGTCCAGAGTGACCAGCTGTCCTAACAAAGGAGGACAAGACCCCGTAAAATGTAGGACATCCCAGAACAATTGGGGCGGGGGGTCATTGCAAAATATAAGCTTAAAACACTCATGAAAAAATAAATTCATGCTTCTTAGCTGTGCTCAAAATGGAGGACATTTTGAAATCCCTCCCGGACAGAAGGCTGGAATGGAGGGCATGTCCTGGAAAAGGAGGACGCTTGGTCACCCTGCATGAGTCGGAAACGACTTGGAGGCACACAACACACACACACACACCTTAAGAGCTCTCACAAGGGTCGTTGTGAGCCACAAACTAAATACTGACAACTTTCTTGGACCCTTTCTCCTCCTTTCCACCCCAAAGGCCCCCTTTCCCGGTCACACAGGCCATTGTTTTCCTTTGCTCCAGAGGCTAGGTGATGGTACAGGATGATGGGAGTTGCAGTTCAACAACCGCTAGACGATTGCTCCCCATATATATGTTAAAGTGCTGCAAGGACCTTTTGCATAATATATATTATGCAAAAGGTCCTTGCAGCACTTTGACTAAACTGAAAGAAACAAGTTGGTAGCTTGAGCGTTGAACTCTGACTTTGGAGACCAGGGTTCGAATCCCTGCTCGGCCATGGAAACCTACTGGGATAAGTCACACTCTCTCAGCCTCAGAGGATGGCAAGGGCTAACCCCCTCTGCCACGAAAACCCTGTGATAGGTTCTCCTTAGGCTGGCCATAAGTCAGAGATGACTTGAAGGCACACAACAACAACAACAACAACAACAACAACAACAACAACAACAACAACAACAGCGTGGCCTAGTGGTTTGAGTATTGGACCAATTCCCTGCCCGGACATGAAACCCACTGGGTGACTTTGGGCAACAAGTCACGCTCTCTCAGCCTCAGAGGATGGTCATGGCAAACTCCCTCCGAGGAAACTTGCCATGATAACCCCATTGTTATTGTTATTGTTATTGTTATTGTGTGCCTTCAAGTCTTTTACAACTTATTGTGACCCCCATCACAGGATTTTCTTCGTGGTATTTGCTTAGAGGAGGTTTGCCGTTGCCTTCCCCTGAGGCTGAGAGAATGTGACTTGCCCAAGATCACCCAGTGGGTTTCATGTCTGAGCAGGGAATCGAACCCTGATCTCAGAGTCATACAATCGTAGAGTTAGAAGAGACCCCAAGGGCCATCCAATCTAACCCCTTGCCATGCAGGAACTCCCAATCAAAGCACCCCCGACAAATGGCCATCCAACCTCTGTTGAAAAACCTCCAAAGCAGGAGCCTCCACTAGACTTTGAAGCAGCATATTACAGTGTGAAACAGCTCTTACTGTCAGGAATTTCCCACTAATGCTTAAGGAGAATCCCTTTTCCTGCAGTTTGAATCCAATGCTCCATATCCTATTCTCTGGAGCAGCATAAAGCAAGCTTTGCTCCATCCTCAACATGACACCCCTTCAAAAGACTCAAACAGGGCTATCACACCAACTCTGAACCTTCTCTTCTCCAGCAGGCTAAACATCCCCAGCTCCCTCAGCCTCTCCTCCTAATGCATCTGAGGAAGTAGCCTTTAAGTCTGTAAAAGCTCATGCTGCCAACTCCTCACAAAGATGCTGCTACAAGATCTCTCTCTGCATACAGGGGGGTTGCAGACTGCCAGAAATAGTGCAAATTGAGTCCACTTTTAGGGTTAGGGTTAGTGCTAGGGAATCATGGGAATTTTTTTTCTGAGACATTGAGTCTTCTCTGTCACAGAGCTCTAGTGCCACAATAAAATGTAGTTCCCATGATTCCCTAACCCTAACCCTAAA